TATATATATCACACAGAGGATAACTGCCACGGTCAATACTCAAGAACAGAAACGTTTAGTTATGGATTTGGATATTTCTATGCGTAGTTCAGCGTGTCCGTATACTGTACAATTCTATGGAGCATTATTTAGAGAAGGTGATGTTTGGATTTGTATGGAGGTGATGGATATGAGTCTTGATAAATTTTACACTAAAATCTACAAACATGGATATTCAATTCCAGAAGATATCTTAGGAAAAGTGGCATTTGCTGTAAGGATTACAATTTCTTTAATTATTTAATCAAATGCGTTTTATACAGTTTTTTCTATTTGTATACGTATCAAATTAATGACTTTTTAAAGAGAGTGTTAAATTGAAACTTAGTTTTAGTATGTTTGTGTTGAAACTTTTAATACTTATCAATAGGGCCTAGATATGGTAAATGCAGTTTATAGCCAGTTGTTGTTAAGACAGTGCTCTCATTCACACATCCACTTCCATTGCTCCTTTTCTTAAACCTGATGTACACTGACGCTGTAATAGGATGAGCTGGCTGAGTTAATGAAACTGGATAAAGGCATGAATGACGGGTAAAGGGATGCATTGTTGTAACCTTTACTCATTGTTAACATCAAAATTGTATGCAAGTTTATTGATTAAATCATTTCATTGTTATCTTTTATATTTACAGGTAGTAAGCGCATTACATTATCTCTATTCACAACTAAGAGTTATACACAGAGATGTAAAACCCAGTAATATTTTAATTAATCGAGAAGGGGAAGTTAAAATCTGTGATTTTGGAATTTCTGGCTACCTTGTCGATTCTGTTGCTAAAACTATAGATGCTGGCTGTAAACCATACATGGCAGTATGTTTCTATGTGTTATATTATATTTCTATTTTATTCTTATTTAATATTTTTTTATACATTAAATTCCTTATCATTATCTTTTTTCAGCCAGAAAGGATAGATCCATCAGGAAACCCTTCACAGTACGACATCAGATCTGATGTCTGGTCTTTAGGAATTTCTCTTGTTGAATTAGCTACTGGGAAATTTCCTTACGAGTCTTGGGGAACACCATTCGAACAATTGAAACAAGTTGTTAAAGACGAAGCACCAAAATTACCTTCTGGCAAATTCTCATCTAGTTTTGAGGAATTTATTAACAAATGGTAATTTAAAATAAACATGATTATAATCATGATCGTTTTATAATTAATTCAAAATCTATGCCACACTATATACAAAATTTATTCAAATAATAACTTTTCAGCTTAATGAAGGATTACACTTCTCGTCCAAATTACAGTCAACTTCTTGAGCTCAGCTTTATTAAAGAACATGCGAAAAAAGATACTGACGTTGCTGAATTTGTCGGACAAATTTTAGATTTACCTGATTTTGAGCAGCTTGCATAGTATAAGCATTACTCATATAGAGTTTATATTGTAACTCTAATGTACATTTGTACTTCACAATGAAGTCATTTAATTTTATTTTTTGTTGCGCCCCATTATACGAATCAAATTATTCAAATTATCCAATTTAATTTTAAAGTAAAAAAGTAGAAAAATACAATTTCTAATAATTGAATCATTCTCTGTATTCTAATTATACATTTATCGATTCATATAAAATTACACAGTAGTGGATTAAGACATGTAAATATTAACAAATTTTTTCTACACAATTCGATAATATAAATTTACAACCTTATATCAACATTTTCTCATAATTAATGGTAAATTATATTCAACCATAATATATATATATATACGTTTTCTAAAACAATTTGAAATTCATTGTACCTTTATGACGTACATTCAACCTTTAAATAATTAATAGTATTTTGATTATAATAAAGTCGCTTGATAGAAAGAAAAAAAAAACTCTTAGTCAACTCATCTTCATAAGTCTTTAATAAACGAACACCGTGTGCATTATTTAAATTATTTCAAACCGATAACTCTTAATTATAAAATGTTTGTTGGAATGATAAAATCAAATATATCTTTTTTTATACATAACACATAAATAATTATAAAATCATTAGATTTTCAATAAATAATTTATATTATATATATATATTTAATTATTAAATATTATTATTTAATTATTATATTTAATATATAACATAATAATTAAAATATTATATATTTAATATATAATATATATAACAGGCATACACACATAATTATGTCATAAATAAAAATTTTTATTATTAAAATATAATCATTCTTACTTAATGAATTTTTTATGTAAAACATAAATTATTAAAATGTCCAAACAAGTACTTAAATTGTATATATTTATATTTTAATACAATGTAGTGTATATACGCAATATAGAAGATATGTTTTATTTAATGTATGAAATGTATAACGATAATGAATAAGTTCTTTATTTATTATCTAATTCCTTTTTAAAGGATAAATTAGAAAGAAGAATTTTATGAAATATATTGGAAGAAAATCTACATCATTAAAATATTAATATTTTCTTTATATCGAAAATATGGTATATATATAAAGCATAATATTTAACAAGATTTTAATATTTATAACAGAATTTATATCAACATACGTACAATTTAACTTAAAACATTATTAACGTATTGTTGCTTGTTCCTTTTTTTTATTCTCTTTAACAAAAGTCAAAAGAACATTTAGTTGATTAATTGTATCCTCGGGACCAGTTACACGATGTCCAATGGTTAAGTCACTTTCATAAATTTCATGATCATTTCCACCGAGAGCTGTTTTATCACCAAAAAAATGTATTTCTTCGTAACCTTGTATATGCCTTAAACAATATGTTTTATCCCAACCAACAGGAAAGACATCAAAAGATATTTGTCCACCTTTTAGTTTAAAAAATATTGCATTATATAATAAATATTTTATACCAGATAAAAAATACCTAAAATAATTAGAATAGCTTACCTATGCTATACATCAAAGCCAAATTAGGAAATTCTTTTTTAAGTGCTTGTATGAACTTTTGGCGCACATGATTTTCTATGTCGTATTCATGAAATTGATTTCGCTCTTCATCTGTACAATTACGTCCCACTGGTGCAATGTTGAGCATACCAGTTCTAAATTCTATGAAAGTTCCACGTTTAAACGGTAATTTCAATTCGGATATATATTTTAAAGTGAAATTGATTAAATCTTGTAGCGAATCTTCTCCGATTATACTTTGAATAGTCTATACGAAGATATTAAAATATCAATATAATATATAGTTGCTAACAAATAAATAATTAATGGAATACCTGCGATGGTAATAATTTGCCATCCTTGTAAGCAACAAGTCCATTTTCAGCAAATATATATTTATATTTATCAAATATATCTTCATTACCAAGTTGTTCCTTGATCTTTTCTAAATCCGATCCACTGACTATGGCAATATCAAATTCTTTTTTCAATACATTCAAAAGAAATTTTTCAACATTACTTTTTATTGGCTATAAATAAAAATCATAAGTATATATTATTTGCTAAAAATAAAGGAACGAAGAACAAAAGAAAATGAATAAAATATTTTTAATAATAAACAACAATATCAAGAATACGAGGAATACAATTGTACATGCAATATTATTAATATCATACTTGTCTTGGTTCAGTTAATGTGCCATCTATATCAAATAAACATATGATTTTTTTCGACATCTTAATAGTTTCTTCAAATAATCTGGAACACGTGTACATGTGACATGTAAAAAGAATAATAATAATAATAATAATAATAATAATAATAATAATAATAATAATAATAATAATAATAATAATAATAATAATAATAATAAAAAGACAAAGANTAATAATAATAATAATAATAATAATAATAATAATAATAATAATAATAATAATAATAATAATAATAATAATAATAAAAAGACAAAGAAAACAAATGTGGGTGTACAAGTAATACATTTATAAAGTGTAAAAACACACCCCCGAATATCAGAAATGATTAAAAGATAAAGCAAAAAATGCAAAAATAACAATTATGTTACAATATCAATACAGTTTAGATAGACAAATCAATTCGTATTATCGACAATATAAATATTTTAATAAATAATATCGAAAAAATAATATATATATATATTTTACCGTATCCTTTACAAACAGTTTCACGTCACGCGTGAAGCTCAAATCAAAATTGTTTGAAATGTTTCCTTGAAGATTAATAAGTATTTCTTTGGGTTATTGTTATTAATCTAACCACATAATGGCGATAACATGTAGACCAATAAACTTCTTAATTTATTATCTCATAATTTTTAAAAATATCGTAATAAAAACTTTTTTAAAGAATGTCAGAACATATGTATGAAAAGAAAAGTGTCCATATTTTCACGTCTTTCTTATATCATCACATGTTACAACATATTTCCGAAGTAAGAATTTACATGATGTATGCATTATCTTATCAGTTAGATTTCATGAATTCCTACCAACAATAAATGGAGTGTCTTTTTTAAAAATATACATATTTTAATTAATCTAATTTTTTAACGCAAGCTAGATGCATAAACTAATTTCATATAATTTTAGAAATAATTAATTATTCTTTAAAAATATATATTAATTTATGTGTTAATTTAAAAATTAAAAACGTGATGCTTTTATGAAATTAAATTTAGTAATAAAGAAAAAACCTTTAATTAAAACATCTTTAAGAAGAAAGAGAAGGAAAGAGATATAATAAAATATTTTTTAATCAAATAATTAACGTTAATATAAGTTTTATTTTTAATATTTTTTTATTCACAATTTAATTGTTGTATACAGTTATATTGGTTTTATAAGTTAAAAGATAGTAGCATATTTCACTATAATTTAAAAAATATATTAGCACCGCAATAATTGATAGTCAAATAGTTAAAAGTAACAAGCAACCACGCGTAAATGCTAATTTATTTATTTATTTCTGTTGATTTTTACAATCGGATTACATGGGGATATGAGATTTTTTTTAGTTTTATAGTATCTAATTGGACCGCTTGATGTCGTCACATTCGTAATAAACGTACTGCCATCTGGAAAGTTGACCTGAAGTTGTAAATTATATTGTCAAAAAAATAAAATAAAATGGAAAATTTAACATTTCTTCTACTAAAATAATTTTTATTATAAAAACATGACAGAAAATATGTTATTGACTTCACATTCTTTTTAAATGAAACGTATGTCGTCTTTTCGTCGAAATGTAAAAAATAAGTTCGTAACAATGTTAACTAAAAAGTATTATTTAAGAATCAATATTCCTATGTTAATTGTCACACTTTCATTTCTTTTTTTAATCGTACATTATTTATCATCTGCAAAGTGTTCGTCTAACGATAAAATGATACAAGAAAAATCTAAATTTAGGTTAATAATATTAATATTAACAAGTCCAGAAAATTTGGAGCAGAGGGATACTATTAGAAAAACGTGGCTTTCTGAGAAGCATGCATCAGTTAAGCATCTTTTTGCAACGGGAATATATGATATTTTACCAGAACAAAAAGATACTTTACTCTCAGAGAAACATAAATTTAATGATTTACTTTTGTTACCAAAGCTGCAAGATTCTTATGGCACGTTAACGAAGAAACTTCTTTACTCTCTAAAAGATATTAATAAGGATTACGATTTTGATTATTTACTTAAATGTGATGACGACACTTATGTTATTGTACATAAAATATTAAGGGAATTAGATAAATGGCAAAATAAAGGTACAAAGAGAGAATTGTATTGGGGCTTTTTCAATGGTAAAGCACAAGTTAAAAGAAGCGGACCTTGGAGAGAAATGGATTGGATTTTATGCGACTATTATTTGCCATATGCATTAGGCGGTGGATATCTCTTGTCATACAATCTTATCCAGTTTATTGTTAATAATATGGAAATTCTTAAGTAAATATTTCATGACAATGAAATATTAGAGTACGACTAGAATAAAATATATATTATTATTGTACTTTTTTCAGGTTATACAATTCAGAAGATGTGTCTGTTGGATTATGGCTTGCGCCATTAGCAAATATAGAAAGAAAGCATGATGTACGCTTTGATACAGAATATAGATCACGTGGTTGCTCTAATCAATATATAGTTATGCATAAGCAAACTATACAAAACATGAGAAACATGTATGAGTATTATCAAGCTTCTGGAGCAATTTGTCCTAAAGAAATTAGAAATCGTATGAGTTATAGATATAATTGGACTGTACCACCAAGCCAATGTTGTACTAGACAAACAGGAATTCCTTAACATAATATTCCTATTAATATTCTTATTGTCCTATTAGGTGTTCTAGTCTCATAAAGCTATCTCTCTTTTAACTTTATTTTATTAATAATACACTATAAATATTATACAAAACAAAGTCAACACAGTATGTGATATTAACAATGTGTTGCAAGATATGTAATTTAATACTTAATTAAAGTTTGCGACATATATTATTAGTATTATTTAATATAATTCAGCTACTGTTATAGCGATTGTATCTGTACATAGTTACTGTAAATACTTTGTAATAGAAAATTAGTAATTGATAATTTCTATTCATATGAGTGTAAGTGAAATATATTTTCCATACTTGCACTATTTATTTTTATTCACTTACTTGGTACTACTTGTACCAGACATGTAATATAATAGCTATATCATCATTTGTATGTATACATCAATTTCTCGGCTATATTTCTATCTCTTAATGAATATCACCTTATTTTAAATATTTTACAAAAATAGAGAGGATAAGTGAATTAAAATCCTTATTTTTGCAAATCAAATATATAATATATTTCTTTTTTTTTAAAATACATACATATGTATAGTTTTTTAATTTACTTAACAAAAAATTTATTCTAATTAATTGTATTCACATTTATAAAATATAAAAATTCTATCTACTAAGATATAGAATATAACTTTCATTATCGTATCATAAGAAAACATTTTCATTTTAAGCAAATCACAGTTGTTCAAAAAGCGGCCGAAGACAAAGATGTATAATGTATAAGAATTATAGACATATCACATTCTTAAATATAAATTTATAATTACTTTTATAAACTATAGATTATAAACAAAAATAAGATAATAAAATTATGGCCGGATCTCAAACTTTCATTTTCTGCGATATGCTGCATTTGAGCTCTGTGTTTTCATTACATTCAAAATTAATGAATCATTAGAAATTTTCTGAAATTACTTTAATTCTTTTATCTTATCATCTGAAAAAAGTTTATACTATCTCAGAATCACTCATCAATTTTGAATGCAATAAAAATACAGGACTTCGCATATTATTTTTATATAAATTTCCTATTATTTTATTACGTATATAATTCTCAATTCATTTTTAACCACGATGTTATTAACTAATTTTAGAACTGACGTACGACTGACGATTTTCTTCCTTTCCTTTGAAGTGTTCAAAGAACTATAGTCCTTTGCTATTTATTTTTTTTTTCTATCTTGTGAACATTTAGGACAATACCATTTTCCTTTTGGTTTGGTAGTCAAACCAACACAAGCAAAATGAAACCATTCAATAGGACACTAAAAAATAAATAAAATATAATTTATTTAATAATCGATAAGACAGAAGCTACTGCTTCTTATTAATATCCGGATAGATTTTAACTTACATCTGGATTGTCACAGCCTATCATTTCTCCATATGATACTTGATGACACAAACAATAAGTCGGTTCATTTGGATCAACAGGCATATCCAAAACGTCTGCGGAATGGCCAAGCGTATTGGAATCTACTTGAGCACCACTTCCAACAGCTCCACCTGAAGAAGCCGAAGCAACTGAGCCACCTAATGAAATATGATGTAAGAATATAAAAATCAAATATTATATTATATACATATAGACGATATATAAATACATTAAACATACTCTTTTTTTGTTTTTTCCTAGCACTTTTAGATTCATCTTCGCTACTAGCACCTGCAGTACCCTTCTTCCGTTTTTCTTTCTCTTTTAATTTTTTCCTTCCTTTTTTAGTAGAAGTACTCTCTTCTTGAGCTCTGCTATTATTTAAAGCTTTATCCTGTATCTCTGCTTCAAACCTTGCAAGGTCAGAATCTAATCTACGAATATGTTTATCCACAAGTTCATACGTCTGAATTGCTAATTGAACCTTATCATCGCCATATTCTTTAGCTTTATTAAATAAACTTTGAATATGAGATATTTGTTCTTTTTGCTTTTCTGTTGATTCCTTTTTTATATTCTTTAAATAATCATCTGCCAATTTATCTATCTCTTTCATTAGTCCTTGGGCTCTTGCATCCAAATCTCGCATCAATGTAAAATTTCTTTGCAATTCAATTGGTAAATGTTCTAAACCTATGGAATAAATACTGTTATTAAAGCTTAAACTACTTTGTACTTTTATATGTTTATAGAAACATAAATATATTTATATATACCTATCTTTTAATAATTATTTATTTTAATATTTTTCTGATACTTACTGTCCAAATAATGTTCCAAATAAAGTGCAGTAGTCATGTTTGTTTTCACGTAATTAACAATACGATGTGTTTTCTTCTTAATTAAAAGTTAATATAAACAATTTAAGAGATAATGTTTTTACATAAATTATGAAAAGAAATATTATAAAATCTTCCCACAAGTGAACTATCTATTCACGGTTGTATTAATCTACAATCAGTGTTGTTAAAAGTGAGGACCTTTTCTCACTATTTGCGATTGACTTTTCTTTCAAAAAATGTTTTTATAATTCCTTTTTAATTTTGTTTGGCTTGCATTAATTTAAAAGTCAATATAATAATAAAAATATAATATTAAATAGTTAGTCTGTAATCCCACAAAATTTCCAATATTTTACAGGCCCCATAAACACAGAGAAGTGACAAGCTAGACTCGTGAAAAGGTATTAACCTCTTTTTAATAATAAACAAAAAAATTTACATTAATAAAACAAATTCTTATAATTAACATGTACATTATTCACTATACAATTATAGTGAAACTAAAGATAACCTTATCATCGAAAGTGTTTGACAATAAAACGTATTTATGTGGGAATATGTGTTAAATTTTTTGTTTTTAGATATTTTTAAAAAAGTGATATTTGGAAAAAAAATTAATCATGTGTTTAAATGTATAAACTAACTTATATATTCTGATGTGTAAAATATAGTTCTGTAATATAATGTGGAATTGAATCAATTAAAATTGAGCGGTGAGGATTTTTGTTACTAAGTAGTAATTTTTTCACTAGTGAATAGGGAAATTTCAAGTTTTAATTTGGCAACACTAACTAAGGCGCGAATTTTTAAAAAGTACACTCATCACTACTACATAACATTTTTCAATATTATGAAATCAATATAAATTCATGTACACATAATTTATATAAGACGTATTCTCAAAGATAATTTTAATAATACTTTATATTTTATGTTTCTAAATTGGATTACGTCATATATAAAATATATTGATACAATATTGTTTTTTATGAAAAAATAATCGACAGAATAATACGGATTTATAATTTATAGTAACTGTTAATCAAGACGTGATAAAAAAAATTAATAACAAATTAATAATGTTTTAGATAAAACAAATATAAAAAAGAAAATGATATTCATTTGGGAACCACTGTCGAAGATATAAGATGACTTCCTCCATTATTCGTCAGCTTAGAATAGATGAACACGTAGCTAATAATAACAATGGTTCATTAATAAAGATTTAGATAAAAGTAATTGTTACTAATACGACTACTATTTGGTACAAATATTGTATGATTGATATTACGAAGCCTTTGACACTAATATATATGTATATACACACATATACATATAGATAGAAAAGTTCTTTTATTTAAGGTATGTCAATGACATAATTCTATATTATTTTTTATTTATGAAAAAAGTTGAAACATATAATAAAAAAGTAAGGAATGATATTTTATTTATTTCTTTTTTCTTTTATTTATTTCTTATAGTATGTAAAATATATATGATATTATTTACTCAAATTTTCTTAAATGTATTGATTAGCAGCAAATTAAATTTCTTGTTATGATAAAAGGTTAGTGTAATATATAGAATATATATTTAAGTATGTCATTAGTGTAGTAAATAATTATCTTTAACATAATTTCTAACACTAATGTAATCAAATTTTAATTAAAATAAAGTTATTTTCTAATGAATTATATTAATGAAACTATACATATATATAT